GCTGAGGCTCCGGCCCCACAGGTGCCCCCGGCCGCCTCCGGCTGCTCCGCGCTGCGCTCCGGTGCGCGGCTCCGCACGGCGCGGCTCTGCACGGCGGAGCCTCTCAGCCCTTCCAGCCGCCTTTGTGCACTTGGCATGCGGCTGAGTCTCTTGAAAAGTAGCAGGGAGCTGCCGACCCATTTGTTTCTGGGGCTTCCCCACAGGTTGCCTCTTTCGGCCAACTCAGCCTCGCGCTTGTTGTTGTTATTTTTATTTTTAATTTATTTGAATAATTGCTTTTCTGTCCTCGGAAAAATGAAGAATTGGTGGCAGCTAAGCTGCACCTGGTACTGCTTACTGTGATGCTGGCGCAAGGTGCAGCTGTGGACTCAACCCTGCACTCTGCAGCTGTGAGGGGACCTGGAGTGGGTTACTGATAAAGTCGGGCGGTGAGGGGCTGCATCGCCTGCTATGCGGTGTTAGTCATTGTGCAGTGAGGATCCTGACACCGATTTCTGTGATAACCCAGCTCGGGAACGCGTGATCCGAGCTATTTCCACTAAGCCTGTTGATGTTACAGTAAATGTGACATGTGGGTGTTGATGGAAGGGACATCGTTTTCAGGCCCGCTTTGGGCAACACCCTGACGAGCAGTCACTTATTTGTGCTCTCTCCTGCTTCTCCTCGAAGCCAGCTATAGTTGTGTGTGTGGGCTCCTGGCCCCAAGGCAGCCCCAGCTCATCCCAAGGGAGCACCCTGACTCAGAAACAGGGCTTTAACAGTGCTTATCCATCCCCCCCTGGTATAGGTTTGTGACCCCACTGCAGAAATGGAATGTAGCAAGGGAGTTCAACACGCAGTGCCCAGCGCCAAAACATCCCTCTTCCCCCTTCCTATGCATCACTTTGATGACCAGGGGATGGAAAAAAAAAAAACAACAACAAAAAACAAAGAAGATAGGAGCCCACTTTCTGACTCCTTTGCACCTTCCACTCTGCAGTGCAATAAAAACACAAGAAAATAAATCACTGGTGGCTGGACCCAGCCTCGTGCAAAGCCTGTGAACAAGCATCTACAGGACTGTCCTCTGAGGCCGTTGAGATGATTTTGAGTAGCAGTCTTTTTCACTGCTAATGGGCATGGTTTTGAGACATTTGACAGGCAGAAAGTAGTTAGCATGTGCATTTGCTTTAATGTTGGGCATAAGAGTATTGTTTGCATGGGGCGCGTATGCTGTAATGATGTCACCACACTGCAAGAGGAGTGCTGGTGGTTTTGCGACACTGCCTTTGTGGAATTAAGAAAATTGTCTGCTGCATTTTGGCACTGTAGGCTTTGAGATGCTGTTCTGAATCCAGACAGTAAGCATAATGCTTTTCAAAGTAAAGGAATTGATTTAGATTGTCTTGTTGCATTGATTTCATGAAGCCACCGAATGACAGCAGTGTTGCCAATGTCCCTGCAGATCACTCGTCCCTATTGCCATGCTCACCTGGGAGGTGGTGTAGGGCCTTTTGGAGGAGCCTCTGGGCACAGGGATAATGCCAGGCACACCTTAACACACCTGGAAGAACCTGGGCACAAGTCCTGCCTGGAAATAACTCGTTTGCATTTTTTTCCCTTTTTCCCACGTAAGGGAGATGAGATGTTTTCCATTCTCCTTTTTTTGTGTGGCTCGACATTTCCTTCTTAAAAAAATAAATAAATGAAATAAAATACTCCCGAGGAAACACCCTCCTCCCCCCAAACCCAGCTACCAACAAACAGAAATAAAACCACAGAGTTAAATTCAAATAATGTGAAGCGACTCATTTGAAACCCACAGACACAAGTGGAGTCAGAACTTAGATTGAGACTGGCCTAAATTGCCCCACTGCTATTAAAGGACTCCTGGCAGAAGATCTTTGCTGCTGTATTAACCAGGCATGACCTGGTGCGTTATGGGCTGGACTTCAGGCTTTTTTCTCTTTTCCTTTGTGGGTTTTAAATCTCTCCTGTAATGTTACTTGAATGTAGGTTTTTAATGGCTTAATTGAGTTGTCAATAGGAAGCCTTTTTTTTATTATTATTATTACTCTGAGTAAAAAAAAAAAAATGCAAATTGACATGGATAAAATGCATTTGAAGTTCTATTCAGTATTTTGTTTTTCGTTCTTTTATGTCTGTTGTCCATGTTCTGAATAAGGGATTGTAATATAGCTCCTGCATTGTTAGGTTTACGGCCAGTCTCCTGCTTGATGATTTGTTAAGCTGAGATCAGACACAGAGTTGAGGCAAATAAAATTTTGGTAGTTTGAAACCCAATTACTACGGATCACAAGGGCTCCCCTCACCGAGCAAACGAAAAGCTGAATTTCGGTAAATGTGACGACTGCCAAAATATGAAGGAATACCAGATGTTATTTTAAAAAAGTGCCATTGCAGAGTCCTTGGAAAGAGAGAGTGAGAGAGTGTAAGTGAATAGGCATATGTGGATTTAACTAATATTCAAATGAACTGCGGATCTGAAAGGAAAGAATTCTCAACAGTTTAGCTGCTAAAACCTCCTTCATGTTTGCAGAGCTGCGTGGTCAGGACCTTTATCAAATGCAGCAGTTTTGCTACATTTTCTGAAGAGCACAATTTAAATCACAGGGAAAAAAAAATCCTCACATCAAAAAGATAATAAAGTTGAGACCTGTGCTTTTCTTTTTATTTGTTATATATATGCCAAAATTCGGCCTTTGTAATTTGAGAGACCGACTTTAATCTGAAAGCTTTATAGGAACGTTACATGAAACTTGTAACAAACATTTCCCCCTCTGCCACCTTTTTCCTTACGACTTTGGGTTCAGTTCCTGTTTTCCTGTTGTCTTTTCCAGCTCTTTGTCCCATCTCCTGTCTGTGTATGTGCGTGTATGTCTCTCTGTGAGGTTTTTTTTTTTAATATTTTGACACTCTGCTCCCCCTTAATAGGAATTCTTCCTAGAAGTAGTGTGTGCATTTCTAAAGGACCCTTTTCACAGTCCTTTTCTTTTGGCTCTAAAATGATGTATATGTAATTGGTAATTAAAGGTGCAAGCTCTCTTCAATATAAACAATATTGCTCAATGTTAGATCATTAAAGGGAACCGCAGCACTAAATAATTACCTTTTGCATTGTGACACACTTTTCACAGCCATCCGCTCTCTTCCCGGCAGTCCCTGTTCGGCACAGGGTTATGGTTACATTTTCACTGAGTCAAGGAGGCACCTTTTCATAACATAAATTGATGAATTAATTATGTAACATTGTCTTCAAACTCCCTTTCAACTTAGATTAAAGGGAGAAAAGTAATTATGGGTTTTTAGGATGGTGCTTTTTGGTAACCTTGGGGTGAGCTGGGAAGCCAAAGCCTTCCTGTGCCCATTGTTGGCTCATGGGATGCGGTGTGCTTGAGTCCTTTGCTGGGATCTCAGTCCTTCCGTTCCCTCAGTTCTCTCTGTTTTGCTGCTCTGATGCAACTTGCAGTACAGCTGGTAGATACACTAATCAATTATTTATTCTGGAAGGGGAAAACAGGAATGATTCTTTTTCTAACCTGTCCTTTTTGAGGCTTGACCATTTTTGTTGTCAGATGATACATTTCACCTTCTACCTCCTGTCCCTTTTCTATGGTCCTTATTTATTTTTTTTTGCCCGATTTGCTGAAGAAGGAGACAAAACTCCTTTTGTCTTCGGCCAGGAAGAGAATCCAGATCTGGATTATGACATCTGCTTATCTCGGTCTCACTTCTCTGAGCTATTTGTGTAACTTGCTTTCCCCGGGAAATCCATAAGCAAGCCACTCAGGCCAATAAAGAACATTTCTCCTACTATTCCTTTAATCCTGATTCGATTAGAGGTCTCACTTGCTGATTTACATACTGTTAGCTCCTCTGTTTTGTTCTGCCCAAATCCTATAGTCCTCATAGAGGCAAAACAGCCTTAGGCAAAAGTCAGTGGAAATTCTGCCCACGTAAAGACCAAGGTTTGTATGATTTGGCAGTTACGCAGCAGAACAAGAGAAAATAAAACAAAAAACAAGTATTGCCCCAGAAATGGGTTGTGATCTGTAATTACTTTATCGTGTAAGAATTATCTTCAAAATGCTCATTAAAATATGCTGCATTTTATTAATGGTGAAATGAGAAATTGCTTATTTCCTAAAAACAGATTCAGGTCATTCAGAAACGCTTTTGGAGTGTTTTGAGGGTAATGGTATGAAGACCACAAGGTCCATGGTCAAGATTTCTATAAAAACATTTACTAAGCTAAATAGCAACTGCACAGGTATTTGGCAGTGGTAAAATAAGTGGAAGATTTTGGGCTGAGCCAATATTCCAATATGTTACTCTCTTTCCCACTGTACACACTTTTGAAACATCTTCACTTTTCATGAGAATACATCTTGCTTGCCTTCCAGCAAACAGTTTTCTGTCCCACCGTGCCAATGGGCAGCCATTTCACATTGCTGATGTCTGTAATGGGACAAGGTGGTGGTACTGATGTCATGTGCCTGACCCTGCCTGCCCAGTGTTTCACTCCCTGCTTTTTCTCCACACTGAAATGAAAGAGGAGGCTCGGGTGTGTAAGACTTGCTGGATGGGGTCTTGGCCAGATGGCTGGGAGATGCAGTGGGAATGAGAAGGTGGGTTAAAAAGAGAGGAACCGTTTCAGAAAGTGACTCAGGGCTCGAATGTTTGCAAAATGGCTCTTTGCTGATCTCCTTGCAGTGCTGGCAGCAGTGGGAAGGAGCTGTCAGGAAAGCTATGCCAGGTCAGCCTTTCCATTTTGTTTCAGGCAGGCTTGGTTGCAAAATATATTGAAATCATTCTGGGAGAGTGGAAAAGCTGAAAAATGAAAGAAAGATCTAATCAGTCTTGGCTTCTTTTGGGTGTGTGTGGGGGGGGGTGGCTGGGCCTCTTGCGATGCATCTGTCAGAGTCTGTGAACACTCAAAGCAATCTCTTTCTCTTCTTCCCTTGCCCTTTTCCTCCCTCTTTCTCCTTGTCCATATAAAGCAGAGGCTGACCATGTGGAACCGGCACTCGCCGACGAGGATGAGAGCCTGGCAATAGCAGAGCCAGGTGGCATCAGCATCGCTGCAGGTGGGACAGACCCCGACTTGTTAACCTGTGGACAGTGTCAGATGAACTTCCCGCTGGGAGACATCTTGGTTTTTATAGAGCACAAGAGAAAACAGTGCAATGGCACTGGTGGTGTCTGCTATGAAAAGAGCATGGATAAGAGCAGCCCTCCCCCCTCCTCACGCGCCGAGCTCAGGAAAGTGTCAGAGCCAGTGGAAATCGGGATCCAAGTCACACCCGATGAAGAAGACCGTCTTCTCACGCCTACAAAAGGAATTTGCCCCAAGCAGGAGAACATTGCAGGTACAGCATGTTTTACACTCAATCAACCGCCTAGGTAATCTTTTGACAAAAGCCCTGTAGAATGTGCCATGGAATGGAGGCTTCAGCCACAGGTCTTTGTAGGATCCATCAGCCTGGAGGTCCCTTGTGGCTCTGGGGTGCTCAGAGGGGCTGTGTGCTCCACACGTGGTCCAGTATACATCTCTTCACAGGATCAGCTCTCTGACACCAGGGGCTCTTTATCCCCCTGGAGAGAACCAACGGACGGTTTGCACACACAAAGGAAAAAGGAGAATGTTGGGGGTGGAGGAATCCAGGAATGTCCTTAGGCGGGTAGCAGTGGTGTAGGAAGGGGGACTTTGGTGAGATGCTCAGTTCAGCCCAGTTCAAATGTGCTTCCTAACATGCAGACCCACTGGGAAAGGTCAATTCCTGATAGTGAAGTCGATGGAAAAATGCTCTTTCCGCTGGTGCAAATGGGGAGAAGACTTGTCTGTGAGGGCTGAGCAGGGCTTCATCAAGTCCTTGCTCGTTCCTTCTGCTGGGGTGGATTTCAGCTTTCTGATTTGAGTTACTGACTGTGCTGCCTGTCTTGGGCCTCTGAAATGGCCGGAACTGGGTGGGGGACACCTCTATTTGCATACACATCCCCAAATAGGATTTTTGAAAGAGACTGACCCAGATGAGCAGATTGCAGGCATTTCCTTTTCCTAACCCCCTCAGCCGTGGTGCTCAGATAGGATTTAGCAGTTAGCATTTTCTTGGCAGATCCCCCTGGCTTGGTGGTGGACAGGCAGCAATGGCATCCACATGGGTGAACTGCTGGGAAACGAATGACTGCTGGAGAGTGCATGATGTGGGGCAGCTTGTGGAGCACAGGGTGTTTCTTCTCTTTGCAGCACAGTACACGCTGCTTGCCACACTGAAAGGAAGGGTTGTGCTCCTTGCTGGAGAGTGGGTTTTTTGTGTTATGCAGCAGGAGCTCCCCTCAAACTGGCCTTTGTGTTCAAATTGACTGCATCCAGTGCAGAAGACCAGTGTCAAATTGTCACTGCTGCCACTATCCCAATTTCTCTAGGAAGTGTCCTACAGGATTAGATCTGACAGTCCAGAAACCTGACTGTAGTAGAGATGTTCCCACGAGGGGATTCCCAGCAGAGTAGTACTAAGCTCCTATCTTTACAATCAAAGCTTCAGCTTTCCCTCTTTTAGCACTGGAGGTGTGTGAGTCCCTCCCCAGCACCTCTGAACAGTTTGGTCATTGTGTAAACGGGGATGTGGACTTTGAACTGCTGCAGTCCTCAGACCTCCAGGTGATCTGCCTTGTAGAAAGGGGCATATCCTATCCATTGACTACCTCATCTTCCAGGAATCTTTAAGGGTGCAGACATCACCTCAATTCAGGGCAGCTGGTAGCTTTGAGGGGGCAATAACAGAGGCAGCCTCTGCTGTAGCACTGAAAGCATCACTACCGTAAGTCCTGACCTCATTCTTACCCTATCCTTTAGAAGCTGTAAATGCATTTCCTGGCAGAGATGAATCCCTTGTGGTGTAACAGCTTTCTGAGGGCTAGATTTCCTTCACAACTGATGGGAGAAGTATTCAGGAACTGCTTCTCCTCCTGCCTGCTGAAGGCCTCCTGAGTGGTGCTGAGCACTCCCAATACCTGCAAGCTGGTTGTGCTCAGCTGCTTGCAGTGGGAACCCAGTGCTTAGTAAGGCTGGTCCAGGAAAACTACACTGTAGCTGCACTACAGATCTCACCTTTTACCAATCTGTGCCCAAGTTCAGTCTGAAACAAAGTACTTTAATGGGCATGCTCAGCTCAGAGGGTGCTGTCCTCTCCAGCTCCTGGGGGTCAGCATCAATGCAAGCAGAACTTTTGCCATGTAGAAAATCTGCAGGGAGAGAGGGGTGAAGGTTTTATTCACGTGTGGAAAAGTCATTAAAAAAAAATAACAATAAAAATTAAATGCCAATCTGGAGCACCTAATCTCTTTCAGACTAAACTGAATATCAAATGAAAATACGTATGAAAGATTTTGAATTGAGAAAAATAAAAGAGTTTATCATTTGATTGGCATTTTCTCAGCAGTGCATGGAGATAGGGACATCCACTAAATAGTGCAGTAATAATGCTTTCTCAATTAGGAGCCCAGTTCTGAGATAAAAGATGCAGTGTCCTTCCATATTTTTTTAATAGCAACGGATAGTTTTCAATAGTAGGATAAAAGCCTCACATTACAGCCATGGAGGGTAGCCATGAAAAACCCACAGAAGTCATTCACTGGAAAGGCTTTAGTGGGATATACCAAACCCCTTATTTATATTTCAATAGAAAGGCTTTCTGCATTAGCCAAGAAAATCAGAATCTGCATTTAACATTAAAGGTATTTCCCAGTGAGCGGCTGTAGAGCATTGTTGTTAGATTTGTTAAAAAAAGAGACTAAATACGATTTCATAAAAGGGAAACTTAATCTCTAAGGCAGCTTTCTCCCACCTCGCCACCCCCTCCCTTTATTTTTTTATTTTTTTGTTAATAATGCAACAGCCTACAGTATTTTTACTTTATATGTGACGAAAGATATTCTTAGCCTTTCTGTACTGCGACAGGAAGAATGAATTTCTTTATTCCACCAAGAAATATGTAAAATAATCCCTTAGAAGTATGGGGAGATATGTTTGTTCAAAGCATTTAAAATGTTATTTTAATCAAAGGCACAAAACACTCTACATGCTGTGTCAGCTAAAGGAGACCATTACATTTTAACAGCAAATCATGCTCTTTTTCCCCCTCCTAGACAAGCCCCCCCCCCCCTTAAAAAAAACTTTTTTTTTTTTTTTTATTAAATAAAAAGGCGAAAAAGATTAAAGAATGAAAAAACTTCAGTGGCTCAAATGTATAAAGTAATTTAATATGGTGGAAGCATTAATTATTTTAGCTTAATTGAATTCTGAGGACTGCAGTAGTTGCATTTTTGTAGACAAGCTCTGTTTATTATTTCTTTGTGTAGATTAACAGTAAAGGAAACATAGATAACTTTCAGTTATTTATTGTAAAATAAATGTGTCAATTCATGTGTAAAGCAAGCTGTTCAAAGATAATTGAGTCTTTATATTTGAAGAGGGAAACCAGAAATCACCCTCTCGCCTCTCCGGCTCCCTGAAATATGCTGCCACCGCTGCTGCCCTCAAATAGGTTTCAGCTCCTCTCCTTGATCTCGTGTTATTTTTGTAGACCTTCTTATTTGGTTGAAATGATTTGTGCGGCCTTCTTCTGTGTGACTACACCGCAAAATGTTACTCAGCTTCCCAGAGCTGAGCGCAGGCAGCGTACATCAAGTGCTGAGAGTGGTTCTGCCCCTCGCACCTTTCTTCCCTCTGGGCACAAAGGTGCTGTGATGCAGCACCTCACCAACTACTAATTCTGATGTGGGGTGCTCCTTAGCTGTGAGGTCTTCACTTCCCTTTTTCTTTTTGCTTTTCTTTCTTTATTTCTTGGTAACTCCATTCGTTCTGGTCACTAAATCCCTCCCAACCACATAACAGACCTTTTGCCGCTTACAGGGAGACAGGTAGAGCTCAGGAATGTGCAAGACTTTGCATGCATACAATGCAAATCTCTAACCGCCATTTCAGTAGAGATAATGGCAACTTTATCTCTGCAATCAGCTTTTATCAGACCTTCTGATAATGAACTCTGTAATCTTTCCCGGACTGGTAACTTGCAAATCCAAGCTTTTCAAGGGACTTTCATGTAGTTACCCCCCCCCCCCAATCTGTAAGGTATGTGCTAACATGTTAGCTGCCACTGTGAGGATGTGCCTTGCTCAGGGGCAGGTTGTCCTGTAAAGCTTTTTTCAAATCGGCTGACCTGGTTGAAGATCAGTTCTGCCTCTCATACGGAGGATGTGATAGCATCAAGCAGATGTAGCAGATTGTTGTGCAGCAAAACAAAGCAAGGCCAATGAGTTAGTTAGGAGTTATCAGCCACCACTTCTTTCACTTCACCAGTAGCAGGTATTCTGGAAAAGTTTGATCACTGCTGTGTTTTGTACCTCTTCCTAGCTTTCATGTTTATGAGATTTTAGGCATGACTAGATGAGCAGTTCTTGCTGAAGAGGGACCTGGAAATGCAGGTGTCCTGTGACTGACTGTCTCTCTCTTTTCTGTGCTCTGGGCAGTGTACCGCCACAGACACATGACAACACCAGCAGCAGAGGTTCATTAAGACAGTGTTAATTTCTGCAAAGACAGTGCAAGGAAAGACATGGGAGTTGATTTGAATTCCTCATTCATCCTGTCCCAGCCGCCAACGCTAGTCTCCATGCATTATGTACTTGAACTGGATGTGCATCATGAAAAAAAGGCTCCCTGTCAGAGGCAGGATTTAACTGCAACCCCTGCTCCATGAATGTTCATTTCAGGCTTTTGAATGGTAAAAGTGCCAGTGAGAGAAACTAAATAACTCGAATGTGCTGGAAGCCAGAGATAAACACCGCTGCAGGTTGCCATGAAATAGGCTATTTGATATATTTAGAATTGTTATTTTTCTCCAAATTAAGATTAGTTAAATCCATGTGTGTTGTGTGAGTGATTGTTAACTCAATGGCATGGATTATCCTTTTTTCAAATCATGACAGCTAATTATTATTGCTGTCTACTCTGAGACATTCACTTACAATGTACCATTATGGACCCGTGCACCCATATTAGCCATAGGACTCAGGCAGCCATCATGATGCCTTCACACACGAGGGGAGGAAACCACTAACTGAAAGAAATCCACAGCTGACAGCAGCAATACTGGGCAGGTTGGAAAGAGTGTCCCAGATACTGAAGGGCATGAGGGCCATCCTTAGCGCCCTACTGCCCTTCCCAGGGCCTCTGTGGCACTGAGTTCTGCTTTCAGCCCCTCTCCAGTCTCGTGGGTCTGGCAGGAGCGCCCTGTCCAAGCCAGGCAAGGAAAAATGCCGTGCAGGGAAGAAGAGGCTTCCAGAAACGTGTGGTAACAGAGCCTGA